TAGAATTATATCAATGGAAATAAGTTTATTTAATTAAACATTTCCTTGAGAGTTACAAAAAAAAAAATATTTTATTAAAATATAGCAACTAAATTCTCTATATAAGATACAAATAAAATGCAAAACTACAATACATAAGAGTAATTGTTAATGAGATTAATTTATTTTAATATTTCGTTTTAAATAATGTTCAAATGTTGGTACAATACGTTTATATGTATTTATCATATATGGAGAAGTAAGAAGAAAATCAGCTGTTGATAAATTACATGCCATTGGGATATTCCAAACACTTGCTAAACGTGTTAATGCTCGAATATCAGAATCATGTGGTTGTGCTTCAAGTGGATCAGCAATAAAAATAAGCATATCTATAGATTGTTCAGCTATCTTAGCTCCAAGTTGTTGATCACCACCTAATGGACCAGATTTGTATTTTATAACTGGAATACCTAATACAGCTTCAATTAAAGAACCTGTTGTACCAGTTGCATGAAGTTCATGTAGTATTAATTGATCATGATTTCGTTTAACCCATTCAATTAATTCACTTTTTTTATTATCATGTGCAACGAGAGCAATACGTTTACGTATACCGATTTCAAATGATTGACATTCATCTTTAGATGCCATTATTTATTAAAAATATATATCTAAAATCGAAAGATTAAAATATCAATTGATTGTAAAAAAAGTAGTAAACTTTTATTTATCTAATAGCGAGATTAAGTTTGATTCATTCTACAATATCAAAAAAACAAACGAATGTATCACAAAAAAAATGATTAGGATCGTTGAGGTTTTGATCGTTGTCTTAATATAAATTGTCCAACAGGACTATCAGCAAAAATAAAACCAATGACTCCACCAATACCTGCACCAGCCAGAAATCCAAATGAAAATCGAAATAAACCTTTATACATATTCAATAGTCCAATGAGAACAATAGAACCAATAGCAATATATTGAGTAGGTATTAAAGAAGATAAAGAATATCGTTTTGACACAGAGGAATTCTCATTATTTTGTATCATTTTTATCTTTTATCTAAAAGTTAATTATAAATACGAATATGTTTCTCATATCAATAGAAGTAAATATAGTTTTTTTTATTTTTTAAGGGAAAATTTTTCAAAAACAATCAATTTATGTTAATCAATCAAGTGTTAATCTATTAAATGCATGATGATGTTGATGACTCTCGCGTACTTGTTTCAATGCCTCAAGAAAGTCTGCTCGTGTTATAGGTCTTAATTGAGATAAATGATCTTCTTCATTTGTTGTTGTTGTTGTTGAATGTTTATTACATATTTCAACAATACGTTGCATTGCAGCTTGTCGACATATTTCATTAATATCACTACCCGTATAATTTGTTGTTTGTTGTGCTAATTCTTCTAAATCAACATCCGTATCAAGATTCTCATTATTTAATACCAATTCGAATATTTTAATACGTTGATTGATATTGGGTGATTGAATATGATAACGTGTTGGCATACGACGTAGAATAGCTGCATCTAAATCTTGTGCACGATTTGTTGCACCAATGATAAGTATACGATTTGATGTTGGATCAGCGTCATCCGTTTCTAAACCATCCCATAATGTCATAAATTGAGTTTTAACCTAAAAGAAAAACAACGATTTATATCATTATAATTAAATCTATATATGTACCATTCGTGTACATTCATGATCATCATTTTGACGTGTACGCATAAATGAATCGATTTCATCAATGAAGATAATTGTTGGTTGTAATTTCTTAGCTAATGAAAATATAGCTGCTGTACGTTTTTGTGATTCACCATACCATTTATCTAATAAAGATGTTACCTAAACAAAAAACAAGATATACAAAATATGTTACAATTTACGACACACTTTGTATCCTTATTTTGTTTACCGAAATAAACAAACGTCTCTATCGCCGGCACCCTCAAGGGTAAAATATGTGTCGCACAGTATTTTCCCCTATTTTGTTTCTTTTTTTTTCATAGTCAATATAGATATTAGTTTTGTATCAAAACAAAGTATTAATCGATATCTATGAATGTTTAATTAAAGTTTTTCAAAATGTATATTTACTTGAAGATTAATAAAATTTGCTCCGGCTTCTCTGGCAATTGCTTTAGCTAACATAGTTTTTCCACATCCTGGCGGTCCGTAAAGTAAAACACCTTTTGGTGTTGTTAATAATTTCGATTGACTAAATAATTCCGGATGTTGTAATGGATAAATAACAGTTTGTCTAACATTATCAATAATGTCATCTAAACCTCCGATATCTTGCCAAGTAACTTTAATATCAATTGGATTAATTAAATCTGCTAGAAGACACATTTCATATTCATTAAAATTATTTACAAGTGATTTTGGTAAATTCATTTTTTTCGATATGATTTCTGCTAATTCTTTTTGACGTTTTTTTTCTTCATGTGTTGGATCAAGATGTTTAAGTGCATAGCGTATTAAAAAATAACTAAAAACCATTGAACCAAACAATGCTAATGTACGTGTGCCTAATGATAATATCAATGAGCGCATTTGAGGATCTTTGAAATTAATCATACGTGATGTTTCAGTTAAATCCTGAGCAAGCTTTGATGGTGTAACCATGTTTTTCTTTTCTTTCTGAAAACAAAAACTTAATATTTTATTTTCTTTTATTATGCACAATTTTGTTTTTCTAATATCAATCAAATATTTTTAGTTTTCAACAACAAAACAAAAAAGAGGAAAAAAAAACAATAGAAACTAAAAAAAGTTTGTTTCTACCAAGATGAACCTGTATGAGCCAAACGACGAATACGTCTGAGAAGAAAAATAAATGAATATATATTTTTATTTGTAATTTTTTCATTATACCTTGTATTTCGATCTTGATCACGAATCTTTTTATCCATTTCAGCATCAGTTAATGTTTCTAAAAATGGGCAGTACTCTTCGGCATCATTATGTGTACGCATACCAACATCAATGATTGGCATTGATGTTTCACTATAATAAAACAAAATTAGTCTAATATTGAAAATAGTTTTTATTCTAATAAACCTATATGAAGATGTTTTATGATACCAACTAAGTTGTCCACGAATACTATATGCAATTGCTGTTACAAATTCACCACCAAGACCTTTAAAACATTTTATATATTATTATTTTTAATAATTATAAATTATACCTAATTCCGATGCTAATACACGAGCAAAATCTTCTGGACTATTTTGATTATCTGACATATCCCATTCAAATCGATCAACTAAACTAACATTGCCAATATGAATATTTAACTAAAAAAGATGAGTATAAAATCAATTGATTTAGGATAAATGTCAGATCCATAAAAACTATCGAAAGGTTAATTATACTGTGTGAAAACGAATAGATTATGTGCGATTACTCATAATTTCATCTTACTTTAATTGTGACACGTTGATCACTATTGTCTTTAAGAAGATTATTATGATGGGCTTCAAGTTGTTGTCGTATAGCTTGTGTAATAGCTGGTACAAATACAATAGGATTTAAATCCAAATCATCACAGAGTACTTCAGCAAAGATTTCTGGTGTAATTAATTGTTCTATACAAAAGAAGAAGAGGATAGATATTATAAAACAAAATTTTCTTAAGAAAAATCAACCATTTTTATTCCATGTAAATGTATCTCGTAATTTTTGTCCTTCGATATCCATATCTAATCGAATAGGTACAAGATCTTCGAGTTGTTCAGCATTGTCAAGATTACGTGCTGTATCCACATAATCAAAGCTATGAGCAAAAGAAAAGATATATTTTATGATAAAACAAAGTCAAATATTCATACCATATAGGGAATGTCTTTTTCTTTATCATTGTTCGATTTCTATTTACAGGTGTAGCAGTTGGTACAGCATCCAAATAATGAGAATTAGTTGAAAGTGTTGGTAAAGTTGTGGTTCGTTTTGGTTTATCTCTAATATAGAAAAAAAAAGAAGCTAGTCTTTTTCTCTCCAAATAATGAACTACTCATACGTTCGTGTTACGGTTGAGTCTGTATTCATTGTTGATGCTCGATATTTTTCGTCGTGTCCACCCAATATTTCATCAACTTCACTTTCACGTAATAAAGTTAAATTTGTTGGTAATGAAGATTCCGAGCAACCTTAATTAATAGAATACGTTTACAAATAATAATGAAGAAAATCAATGATTAACCTTGTTTAATTAGCCATTTCCGTTCTTCCAATGTAATCATACGTCGCCATAAAGATGGATATTTTTTGTAGAGTGTTCCGCGAAATAAACGTAAATAGTTGCCCACCTTACAAAAAAAAACGAACAGAACAGAAAATGAAAGAATAAGCAAAGATACAGTCTAAAAATTTTATTTACTTCTGATCCAATATACATTTTTTCTTGAATATCAGGAAATTGATATGGTACGGGACGTTCACCATAAGTGTTCAATGTAGTGGTCGATTTTTTGGTTGTTGCCATGACTGCTTTTAAGTATAGATTAAAGTAAATATATCATTAAAATCACATAGAATTATCTATCAATACCTTCACGATGTGAAAACGTATGTTGATATTTGATATAGGAGACAAACAAATCTATAAACTAAAAAGATATCTAATAAAAAATAAAAGTGCATATAATAGAATATTACCTTGGACGTATAATTTTAATCATTTATATAAATATTTTCATGGCTATTTTTGATACCAAGTGTTTTCAAGTATAAATAAATAAATAATAGGGTTTAGTCAACTTTAGATTTAATGCTATATTGAATACGAATACATATAAAATTAGATACTAGCATGAGTTCATTTCATTGGCTACACTATTAAGAACTAATAAGAATGCCTATAACATAGATGTCGTCATGCAATCCTTTCTTCATTCATGATCAAGAGGTCTAGCAAATACATTTTCTTGTATTCTGTATTCATTTTTTAACATCTATATATCTAAATTAGTTTATTCAGAATATTTATTGTACAACAAATATTACAAAAGTGTACATAAAGATGATCGAGGCACAGTTACATCAGATTTTTCGTTTGAAATGGGCACGAAAGGTTTAATATCTTCTAAAAATTGTAAATATTCTGCAATTCCTATAACATTTCTTTCCCCATGCTTTTCCATCGTAGTCAATTCATTATTAAGAGATTGTAACATTGTTGGTGAATTTGTCATACACATTTTGTATAATGCAAGAAGACGTGTACCTTTCATTTGTGAACAGATAGGTAAAAAATTTTCAAGTTGTTGTTTAATAAAAAACTGTTGCACGTCATCAACTGTCCATTGTTCAATATTTGAAGGTAAACGATGATCACTAAAAATTAAAGATAATTTATATTTTATCGTATATTATTAATCTTACCTTTTTGCTTGATACGTCGCTTTTAATACTTTTTTATCTTCTACAATCTGTGTATTATGTAATGGTTTACTAACAGACGGCATTTCATGATGACGTGCAGAATTTTGATTCATGTCTATCTTTTTTTCTTTACGATTTCGATCAATTTCAATCATTAATTTATCATAAGCATCATCAAAACCATATTTCGGAAAATCAATACGCATTCTACCTGTAACAACAATACCAAGCCATCCATCAGGTCGATATTGGGATTTCATAACTAATGGAATTATACAACGTTGTCGTTCTAATGCATAATATGCTTCCATTTTACAATATCCACTTTGTTTATATCCATCAGACATACAAATAAATACAAATTCAGAGTTTTCAATTGCATTAGACATCGCTTCTAAAGGTGTTCCATGCATTTGTTCACGATCTAACCATACACGAAAATTATCTTTTTGTAAACGATCATAAAGTTGAAAGCATAGATCTTTATCTTTATGTGAATAACTAATCATAATATCATATGTTGTTTCTGAAGATTGATTCGTTTGTGAGACTTCTGATGTTTCATCTTTGGTTAATATCCATAATAAACTTTCAGCTGCTCGTTGTAAATCAGATTGTGTAGGATTTTTAGATACTGTTGTAATATATTCAATAAAAGTAGTATTTTCTTTTAAATTTTTACAAACATTTTTATCAAATGACATTATTAACAGATTTTCAAGTGCTCGTTGTTGAATAAGTGCTTCAAATTTAGTCTTAGTCGCACATTCAATAAAAAGTGGTATGCCATCTTGTTTGTATACTTCATCACGAATTTGATCATGTTGTAATAAGACTATTAAAGAAAATAATTACATAATGAGATTAATACATAGATAAACTTACTTTTTAAACTCGATAATAAGTTTTTCAATCGTGCTTCCCATCCTACCCAATTCATTACTTCTCTTAAATGATCAAGAAATACTTTAGCTATAGCTCCTGGATCATCAAGTCGTTTAATATCATCTTCTGTCATTATTGCTGCCAATATTCGATAGATATTAAATTGAATTTCTGCTTCACCTTTATACATAGTACATAATTTCAACATTGTTTGTGTTAATTTTTGACTTTTTAAATAATCCAATGTGTTATCCGACAATGTTCCTGCATAAACATACTGAATACAGTTTTTATGAAGTTTTGCTGATCGACATTGTCCTAATACGATTTGAATAGCAATGTTGATTATAGAAACTTGTACTTCAAAATCTTCATCGTGCGGCATAGTCATGTCTACGCGATAAAGAAATGTAGTAGTTACATCTGTAAGGATATTAACAGCTGAATTAGACCAATCTGTAAGTGATACTGCATAATCATTAAGTAAATCATATATTGATGGAAGTAAATGTTTACGTAAATCAGGTGCATTTTGTTCAAGTTGGTTTGTACTCAAAAATGAAACGTAATATAATAATACCGAGAAGACAAATGTTTCAGGTAGAGAACGTTCTTCAGATTTTGCGGATCTTTTTAATTGATTAAAGATTTCAACTGTATAAGGAACACAAAGACATTTTATTATAACAACTCTAAATGATGAGTTTTCGATAAGTTGACTTTTATTATGACTTTCAATATTGAGATAACTGTTAAGTAGCCGATTGATAACAGGAATATGTGAATTTGTAAACATAGGTTGTCCCATACGAGCAATTGTATTTAGACATTCACAAAACTCTTCAATTAAAGATGTTTTCTCTAATTGATTAGAATAACACAGATTTGTAAATATTATTGATAAATTTTCAAATATATTAGAATCATTTGAATCATTAAAATAAGTTAATTCACGCCATTGTTGAAATAATTCAATAAAATAATCACGAAGAAATGTTAGTATTGTTTCATTGAGATAAATAACATTAGTACATAATAATGTAACTACTTTATTTAATTCTTGACGAAAAATGACAATATTTGATGATTTAAGACGAAGTAATTCAGTATGCAAATCATTTAAAATATCATCATCTTGTTTATAATATTCACTATTTTGTTTCCATGTTTCAAGTGTAGTACAACGTTCAGTAATCAAATCACTCATCGTGTAATTTCATCTAGCTGACAACAAATAATGTTATTAGAATAACAGATTTTTTTTTCTCTGCCGGTTACCATAGCACGTTCTTTATAGTTTATTTTTCTCGTACTTTAAAGATTTGAGTTACATTTTAGTCACGCACTGCGCATATGTCGATGAAAAACTCCGTTGTTATATTTACATTCTGTTCTGTATTATTTTTATAGGTTACAATAATTTTGAGAAAAGAAATAGAACAAAATATTAATCTAATCAGGAGAGGGGAGGGGGGTGTCGGGAGTGTAACACCCTCCAATCCTACACCAAGTGTTCAACAACCTCTGACTTGATTGAAATTTTTGCACCATCCTTTGTATGTTGGCGTTGTTGGATGTTTTGATTGGTCTTCACTTTTCGGTTCCAACGCCACTTTGCACTCTTGGTCGTGTATGGCAGTCGGAGTTTCGATGATCGTGATAGCTGTGAATTCATCTAAAAAACATGTAAAGTAGTTATGAAGTACTATTGTTTGATGATATAAAAGATTTCTAGGACCAGAAAAAAAAACTTACATCTATAGCTAGATCATCTTGAGGTCTTTGAATACGTTGATGAATGGGGTGAAACCAGAGTTTGTAAAAAAGAAAAATCATCGCAAATATTTCTATAAGTGAAAAACTAAAGAGAACGGTATGAAAGAAAAGTGCTCCTCGACGAATAATAGGTGATTGATTGTTTTGAACAAAATAGATTTCTTCTTCAAAATGAATATTAATAGTCTGTTGTTTAGAAGAATATCGCAAGTATTCTCCCTTTTCTGCAAAATATAATTCATCCGAGAGAATATCGGTATATGTAATAAATGGAGCCCAAATTCCTCCATATGATGTTCTATCATTTCGGTTTAGTGGTTTTGTTATATTAATAACTTTGATAAGACGTACGACGAAATCAGTCGAGCGTGCAATAGTTTGATTATTTGCATAGAAAAGAGTACATACACCAAGTTCGTGCAATTCATGTACTGCGTAATCTTCAGTTTCGTTATAGGATTTTCCATGTAGACAAAGACGAAGTGCTCCGATAAAGTACGGCCCATTGATACCAACTCGAACAAAGGACTTATGAGTAGGCAGACCAAAACTAAACGAACCACTAATATTGTTTAGTGACAGTGTACAATTTGTTTCGACTCTTGATAAAGGAGTACCTGTACGTCTGTTACGTTCAACAATGATATCATTACACTGAGCTCGTGTATTTACCAGATGTATAGTCATAGTAAACGGTTGTTTGTTGAGCATATCGAATATTTTCCAATAAGTACCATCAGGTTCAGGTAAGGGTAGTTGAAGTGCATTGTCAAATTTCGAATTTCGTTGATTGTTATCACATGCTTTGTCGACTGCCTCTGCTTTCTCGATAGGATATGAAGAGAAGTAAAAAATAGCAAATATAGAACAATATATGATAATAGTAAAAATGACGATTGATACGAGACCACCAATCCATCGTTCTCCTTCTCCAATAAGATCCGTATGTTTGAAAACGGTTTTCGCTCGTTGACGGTAGATATCGATCAGAGTTGGACGTCGTCGTTTAGTAAGAAACATAATAACCCACACCATTAGACATAGTATTGTAGCCATTAGAGTCCAGAAAAGAGGTGTAAAAATCAAACAATTCCATTTCATATTAGTAGAAAAAAATTTTAATAATAATAAATCATCATAATCATCGATAATAGGTGTATCCGGATAACTAAATGTTTGATTATACGAATTAAAGTCAGTTAAATTGACTTCATCACTAGCGCCCAATGGACAAAAAGCAGTTGAATTACAAGGTCGGCATTGAATTGACGGATAATCTCCAGGATTTTTTGTACGTGGTGGACAAATCATGCACGGACCAGGACCAGATGTATTCTTAAAAGATCCACTTACACATGGTCTAGGTTGCATGACATAAAGATTTGAGGAGTTAATTAATACGAGCTTCATAGAACAGAAGCCGGCATCAGCAGATGGAATATACACGATATCACCATTTTTTACCTGGATTAATAAATTGTTCGAGCGTGTTCGAATACGACGAAAAGAAAATTTGCGCCGCGAATTTGAGCGTTGAATACCACTCAAGGTCTGTTGATTATTCGGGATAACAAAACTAGGTACAATTGAATCATGAGTTCGATTAAGAAATATGTTTTTATATACTTGAATTTCCGATTTCATCGAACTGTTATTCGTTGATTTAAGCATGAGAACAGCGAGTGTTTCATCATCATTGAGCCAGCTAATTGAATGACCAAAACCGTTCCAATTTTCGGATTCACTAATCTCATGAAATTTTGAAACAAATCGAAATGATTCATTACCACTCATATATCCAATTGTCACTTTATTTAGCTGACCGTCACCAATAGCTATTGTCGTTCCCGAAGGATTAATTGAAAGTGACATTTTATAATCTTGAGTGTAGCTAGTTCTTTCAGTTCCTTGAATATCGTTCTCATCAATAGCACTTACATTAATTATACGCAGTGGTTGAAGTCCAATTATATAAAGACATTGCTTACTTTGAGAATAATTTTCAATTGAATGAAATCCTACAACAGCAGCCCAATCATTTTTTAGATCAAATGCATAAGGAGTACACGATCCATAATTGTTACCGAAAACGATAGAATTAGTTTTGTTAATTTGATTGACTTGATCGGTAAACAAATCATAAGAAAGTATAAATGCATCGGCAAAGACATAGGCAAATTTTTCTTGTGGATCAACTTTTAGAAACATATGTTCCTGATGACCTTCGTTCCATACTGTCGTATGACGAAAAACAGGGTGTAGTTTTGGATTATTATAACATACCGTTAGATTCACAGTAATTCGAGTTACTACAATAGATTTAGATGTCTTATTTTCGGCAAGTTGAACGAAAGAGATAATATTATTTTGCTCCATTGTCAAGACTGAGAGACCGTAGATATTAAGTTCGTTATGTGGATTGTTAACAATACATGACGAATTTTGAACTACATTCGATATCGAATAAAAAATATAAGTTTTTCGAAGATTCGAAACGCCGATGATAAAGTTATCGCTAAGTGCTACTTTAAGATCATGATTCTCTTCCTTCGATTCATACTTCATCGCTAATGTTTCCCATTTGAATGTCAATAGTAGTAATAGTACCAGCGATATAACTTTCATATTCATCATTAGATATATCATCGCAGATGTTTCAACCTAAAATCAAAGTAAATAAAAAAGAATCGGTACTACACACATTATGTTAAAATCATATATTCACCATGCTGATATAACAGTTAGAGAAAAAAAATCAGAAGAGAGAACATATGACAACTACTCAAGATAAATGTTGATGAAAGAAAACAGAAAATGACTACTCAGTTGTTTCTTATACCGTTCTTTTCCTCTATATATATCAGTTACAAAATAAGCAAGAAAATTATTCTTCTACAAAACTTTGTTGTCGTTTTTATATTCATGTAAAAACACCGTAAAACATCTGATCTCAATCAAGATCATTGATTTTTTTGTATTAATGAGTGCATATGGAGCTATAATGAATCTAGAAGTAAGATAAGGGCATCACAGCTTGCTCTAATGTTTACTTCCATTTTGTCGATGCAGGGATTCCGAGATAAGAATCGAGTAGTTCGGTCGATAATTAGAAAACGGAGAAAAATATGTTTTTTCTTCATTGTGATTAAGAATCGATTGTAATATCTTATTTTGAGTGATTTAATCGATTTTTTTTAGCCGCCGTGGTTACGTTGTTCGACACGTATCTATCTTTTTCAGTTACTCACATCACAGCCTTACATGAATCAAATGGAGCATCATCAACACAATTTTATTCTTCATGAAATATTACACTTGATCCATTTAATTATCGAATTCAATTTTTTCAAATTGAACAATTAAATGCAACAACTATTGTTGGTCAAACGGGTATTTTAGGAAATAATTTGACTCTTCTTGATAACCTCTAAAAACCGCAAAATTGATCTTTTTACTCCGAAAAATTTTGCTGCACCACCCCTGAATCTGATACAGGTTTTAGTTTAAAAATAACAATATGTAACAGATGTATCGTATATGTTCAAGAAATATTTAGAGCATCAGATTGAAGTAACAATTCATTCATAATTATATTTAAATTAATATTCATTATATAGCAGAGATGGACATAGTACACGTTTTCTTCGAATCGAACCGTGCCCATCTGTGTAACACCTTGTACAACTTTACGTCGTGTTTAAAATGGAATATTATATTATATATTAATTAAACTTGATTTTTTTTGAACATTGCCATCTCGAATTCCATAAGTTAATAATTTACCCATTCGAAATATCGATGATTTTTATATTAATAGTAAAATTACAATAATTTAGCAATGGTTGGATTTTATATAAAGGCAATATTTTATTACAAAGTTGCCTGTTAATTATCACTTGCAAATAGAAAATATAAGTAAATGATGATGTCATATTCATCTTTTATCGTCAAGTGTACTCACATCATTCTTCACGTAATGTATTCAATTAACTGATCGAGAAATTTTAATTGTATCCAAATGTGACAGAGGCATTTCCAACAAAATCACATGAAGACATGACAAAAAATGATAGAACTATCATCAGTATTCAAAAATTATTTTGTGGATTTAAACTAATATATGCTGAAAGACGAATGTATGAAGCTGTGTAGAGGAAGATAATAAACAACATTATTTATATAGCATTTTGTACTTTTTACATACAATAAAAGTGTTATTGAAAGGGAGTATTACGTACTGATCCTAGTTCTCGATCAAACATCTGTTTTTTTCCACTTACAAGACAATTGATAATAACTATCTTCAACATCGACACTAAGTTCAAATATTCGGATTTAGCTAGTAGAATCGATCGAAAAAATTAAGACGTAAACTAACTCTTTGAATTATTCAAATATAGAAATGTAAGCAGAGTTTTTCTAAGTAACTGACATTTATAATATTTGTTTTACCAAGATTTTTTTGTTTAATTTTCTGATCCTCTACTTTTACATCATTATTTCTTCTCATTTTTGTTTCTAGATGATAATCAATACACTTGCATTCATATAATCAATGACAAATACTACCTATGTCTTCTCAAAAATTTTTATTAGAAAAACTTATTTTTGTGTTCGAATGAAATCGTTCCAAGAATTCGATATATATATCTTTGATATGAACAAATTATCAATGAGATAAATAAGTTTAAATAATATTTCTCTTAATAGAGCATGTAACAGATACATTTTTACAAATTATTTCCATAATTCTCTTGATAACACCAATTAATCTTCTTTACTATAACAATCGATAAATATTTACTTATTGAAACATACAAAAAAATATAGAATATATTAAGTCAATATTATCGAGACATTTTTGTTATTTGAAGTTAGGGAATACCTATTGATGTTAATGAAGTCTTAATCTAATTATTTGCATTAAGATCTGCAAGAAAAAAAATTATCCTTACTGTTAATGCAACTGAAACATGATGTATGTATTTCAAAGTATTATTTTATTCAAATATATCTTTGAATAAAACTCGTTTTCATCTATTGAAAAGAAATAAATAATTGTATAAGAATTTATCATTTGAATATTATTTTGAAAAGTAGAACCGATATCTGTATACATGTTAAAGATAAATAGATTTCTAAATATCTTTAAAATAGAAGATGTAAGAGTCATTGTGAACAATGATTATATATTGGAATTAATCGTCTATATAAGCTCATGTCATCATTCAATATCATCACTGAGATAGACTAAGATATAATTCAAAATTGATAAGATATGAGTAGAATTTCACATATATCTTTTTACTTATATGTGAAAGTATTGATTTTGTTCCTCAATTACTTTCATACATATGTAAATGTACATATAGGTATTCCATTCATTTAACAGGGATGAGTTTGTCAATGGTTTGAACTATTCTTTAATATTGAAATAGAAAGAGTAATTCATTCTATTGATAAAATAAACTTTTCCTCTCGTTCTGTTCTTCTATGGTTCTGCTCAGTATCTTTCTTTTTTATCTGAAACAATGAAACTCTACTTGTTCAGACATAACAATGTAATCGTAAAGACCTTTTCTACAATACATATCTTTTCAATATGTATTGTGTACCTTACCGATCAGTGCTAATGTTCATATTGTGTTCTCAGCAAGAAGAGAGTTTCAATAGACATATTCTCTTTATCATCAGTTTTATTTTACTTTCAAAAAAAAAACTACAGAAAGAAATTATAAGTTCTTTTTCATGCGTTCGAGGTTTGTTGTCCATTTTTGAAGTCTAGGATCATTTGTTGATAATGATTGCTGTCCAATTTGTACAGCACGTTCATAAATTGAATGAGCTTTTGAATAATTGTTCATTTTCTCATGTACCCTACCGATGTTGTTATAGGAAGCACCCAAATCAGGATGATTAGAAGGAAGTGATTGTTGTTGAATTGCAAGGCCTTTTTCATAATAAGAAAGGGCTTTTGGATAATCACCCATGCTGTAATACACACTAGCGATTCTATTATATGAATCTCCTAAATCAGGATGATTCAAAGGAAATACTTTTTGCAAGATAATAAGTGATTTTTCATAGTATGTAAGTGCTTCTTGATAGTCTCCTTGATTATATTTGACCGAACCTAGTTGTTGATAAATAGGGGCCTTGTCATTTTCATCCGTTGTTTGATGAAGTACAACTTCATAAATTTCTTGAGCCTTGTTAAACTGACTCATTTTAATTAGCAATAATCCTAATCTAAACCATCCTTCTTCATCCGGAAATGTTTCTTGTTGTATACGATCAGTAAGAGTACGAAGGTCTTGATCGTTATTATTGGTCAATATTAAATTCACCTTATAAAGATTGTTTCCATCCATTGGTTTAATATCTCCAATACGAAAAATGGTATGCATAGAGAAGAGAACTTCATCTTTTGTATGAAAATAACTAACATCTGTAACATCAGCAAATGGAGCTGTTGAATCAGTAGGATTAATTGACATAACAAATAGTATTCCAGCAAGATCAGGATCTGTAGCAGCTTGTTGGGCAAAATCAAGAGAAACACCACGATTTTTACTAGTTGATAAAAAATTATTAAATGAAAGAAGTCCACCTTTAGTTTCTGTCATTTCGATGAAATCTTCTTTCGAAAGACCATGCCCACGATAAACTGTAAATGCTTTACGTGATCGATGACCGTCAAATTGTTTCGAGTGCAGTCGTTGAATATCACAATGTAAATCATTAATAAAGAAACCCATTCGAACAATAATATCAACATCCATGATTCTTAATGCTCGATTGACCATACGATATAGAAATGCATCCCATGTATACCACCAAATGGGTGTCCTGTTTTTGTATGTTGTTTGTAGTTGATTAACATTTTTTAATTCATTTTCATGATCATCATATACATCACGACAATAAGTAATAAATTCTTTGAAATGTTTATCTTCGAAATTGATGGTTAATATGGTTTCTTTCAAGATCTGAGTATACATAAATGATGGATCTAATTGATCCAACTTTTTGTTTGATGCCACAAAGCTGATTGATGTGGTATTTTGTTCACATTCGTGAGTAGCTTGTTTGAGAGCTTCACAGATTGATGTGGTATTTTGTTCACATTCGTGAGTAGCTTGTTTGAGAGCTTCACAGATTGATGTTATATCTGTGAAGACTCCCTTTATTTTAGGCCAATCTTTGGCCCATTGTTTGTGCCATTCTTGATTGCTACAAAAAATGAGAATGGTATCTACCTGGGACATGTCATGCACCTGAGGCATGATATGTTTCCCAAATGACCCGGATACAATTATATATACTTTGCTGTTGTTAATGGTTTGAATAAATTCAACACATTCTTCGCTATCTGTAAAGGTGTATACGTTGTTAACAACACGTTTTAATTGCTTGATTGTATTACTACAATCAGCATTATCATCATCATCAATATTGTTGTCCAGCCAAATGAGGAAGCCATTTTGCATTCTTTGCGTGTTCATAGCTCGATTTGTAGTTGCACTGGTAGAGAAATTAGATACTGGCTCAACATGTTTTGCACTACTGAATGGGGTAGTAGTTGTTGACTTCCTATTTCCCATTACTTTTAGTGCGAGTGTTTCGGATTTGACTTGCTTCGCTAAAATTTGTGAATGAGAGAATTATGAAAGTGGCTCATCTTACAGTGTCTCTACTTCTTATCTAGACATTTTTCTATTGTTTTCAATTGGACGACAATGCTTTTTTCTTTAACAATTGTGGATGTTGTTATGAAAAGCAAAGAAGATCAACATAAATATTCATTGGTAATAAGCAGAGAACGAAAAAGAAATGGATAAGTATTTGTATAATTGTCAGTAGGGATCGGACAGTTCAGTTCTTTGGAACTAAACTGAACTGTCTGATCCCTAACTGTCAGTCATTAAAATAATATGTGAGAAAAATTTTTACGACGTATCTGATGAAGATAAAATAGATCTCCAAGAAATTTTTTTCATTCTGCTTTCATTTTTGATGCTGTTAAAGATTTAAAAGTTGGAAATTATTTTATTGTCGCATATATTATAGTTCGTAAATATTGACAAGATACTACTATTCAAACACAAAATACTTATATGCCTTTATTTCTAAGGTCCAATATATGAAACATGAAAAAAACTTTTTAAATTAGTTGTTCCTTCTATTTCTTTTAAATTTTGTTTTTTTTACTTAACAACAACGTATGAAATGATACGTAATACTGTCTGAAAACATTAAAAAGAGATCATTGCAAAAAAAGTAGATTTTAAACAAATGAATAGTAACTGAACCAGGATTCGGTCTAGAGGGAGCTAAGCTGCAGCAATATGCCCCAAGGCAGTCAACAACAGGAGGATATCTACGAAAATCGGAAAAGTGTGGTGCAAACTAACAGCGCTCCTATTTAATAGATATTAATGAGACTCAGAAATGCAGCATCTCTCGGTTGAACAATTGAGTTTAAATCCATTGGGAAGTTTTCTCAAAAACTTCCTTAGCTAACAATCAAAAAAGCACACTTTTACGTCGTACCCAAGCAGACAAAAAATTTGAAAAACGCGTTTAAACGCTCAATCGGGAACCGCGATTGTGGCCCATTCACGCTTAATAATAAAACGCCATAAACGGCGTTTTGAACGTAAAATCACCACTTTCTCAACGTTAAAACGGTGAAAATTTTCTTTTTTCAACGTTAAAACGCGTGTTTATTCTAGAATTTAAAGGCCATGCGTTTTAACGGTAAAAAAAGAAAATTTTCACCGTTTTAACGCTGAGAAAGTGGTGATTTTACGTCCAAAACGCCGTTTATGGCGTTTTATTATTAAGCGTGAATGGGCCACAATCGCGGTTCCCGATTAAGCGTTTAAACGCGTTTTTTAAATTTTTTGTCTGCTTGGGTAATGCTTCGAAAAAAATTTCAAAAATAAAAAATTTCACCAACATGTATTGCCGCATACGGGTAAATTCTGCACCTTTGGGAAGAAGTATTGTAATTTTTCTTCCAGTTCTCTTTTCATAAAAATATTATTGCTGTCGATCAACTCGTGCGTAAAAATCAAACTCTGAGATAAGTTCATTAATTTATATAGAGCACAGAGCATTCATTGTGGCGAAAGCATTAGTGTAGTGTGGTGTAGATGCTTAAAAAGTCCTTAAGGATTTGACAAATCTCTCTCGCAGAAACGTTTTCACAGTCAGAGTTGAAAAGTTTACCGGTCATCGAAGTCGATTATACTCATGTTAACTATTAACTAATGCAATGTTTATTGATTTTCCGTTAAAAAAAAGCAGAGAGGATGTTACATATTTACAATCCAACCAGACTTATGCCTCCGCTGAGAGTGGTGGCGATGTTAATTGGTTTTTGAAGTTTTAAACATCGCATAAGTCAAAGAATCGTTCTATATTTGTGATAATATTCTCAAAATAATTAAAAGTCTATTTACTATCGAGATAAAGGTTATCAAGGTCGCACGGTTATCTGTGAAAATCGACTGAATAGTTCAAAACTTTGTTGTCAAAAGAACTCTAGATATTTTCAAGCATCTCGACTTGCTCCTGAAAATAATCAGGATTTTTTTATATCATCAGTCACTGTCGCATAGAGAAAATAGTCATATTATATAACTTTTTCACAAAATCGAAGAAAGATATAGTCTAAATCTTCCATAATTAAGGAAACAAATATTCCACAAACTACCGTAACTTGAAGAAAACTAAGATTTGTTAGTTTTCATAGGGTGTGGGATACATGAGGGTGTTGGATGTGAGTGTGAGTGTGGGCAAATAAAACATGAATTCTCACTCACCCGCATCCTCAAACTAAAGATTAACTGAAGATTTTCGTTTTTAGTGAAGCAAAAATAAGAGCCACTTACTTGATGCTTCTTGATTTGATGGTTTTGGTGTGACACTGAGATTTTTTATAGGTGATGCCACTGATTCATCATTATGATCAAGTTCAATTAAATGCACAAGATATGATTGATTAGATTGTTTTAATGGTGGACTTTTAACACGGAATTGTGTTCCAATTTTTAGAATAATTTCATCTTCATCTTCAAGTGCTGTATAACCAGACACTTTTTTTCCATTAATTGTTTCAATTAAAAAAAGTGTTGAAGATTTATTATTTTCAAGAAATTTTTCAATAACATTAACTGAAGATGAACAAGAACTAACCGGCCACCACGTTAAAACTTGGTTTTTAGTATAATTCTTTCCAATATCAAGAGGAATACCTCTCCAGACACTTTCTTTAACAGTTGGTAATTTATCTAATGCCGTATCGAATAATTTTAAATAAGAAAACCATATTTTAATATCCTGTCTATTTTCATTTCTTAATGCTTTATTAAGAAGTCGATATAAACTTGTTTCATCCCATTCCATTGTATAAATATAAACAGCAGCTGATTCATCACGTGTTAATCCGTGTTCTGATGGAAAATGACAATATTTTTTAGCTTGTTTTATATAAATTTTTAATTCATTAATTTGTGATTCAATAGATTCTAAAGATTTTTCAATTGAAACAAGTTGTTGACTATGATAACCATGAACTGCTGGAAGTCTTTTAAATGTTACATCAATATCACTAAAGCGATTCGTTATCGACATTGTTTTGATATTATTAAATCTCAACGAATATCCACTTGATTATTATTATTTGAAAGAATTAATTAAATTATTTCAAATTCACCTTTTTCTCTCTATAAGACAAAAACAAAATTCAATATTAGTTGATTTTAATAATATATCTATGATGTAAGAAAGGAGGTGAATGCTATTGTCATTATGAACCGAAGATAAATCTAATATCCCCACCCATTCACCGACATCCTTCTAATGATATGACCGTGATTTTCCTAATCACATATAAATACATTAATAGTGAAAGAAGAACACATTGAATTGTTTTAATCATACATGACATGATTGTTTTAACGAAAAATTACAAAAGAATTTGGTAATAGATTATAAAATGAGTATCACTGATGTGAAATCATTTATTCTGATAAATAAATTATCAACATTTGAAATACTATAAAATAATATAATAGAGATGAATTTTTCCACAACTTTCGATCAATTTTGTGAATATGACTATGATCTTAACCATGGATACACGTGATTGTAGTCTTTTCTGCGGCTACAGTATAAAAAAAAGCTTTTTTACGAATCCAAAAAATGTTTCTTTCGCGGTTACAAACTTGAAACTTTCTTATGTTTCGTAAAAAAATGTCATGAAATTATTTTTGATCAGCTACGATAAATGTTTTGTCAAAAGTATTTCGTAGAAAGCCTTTCCGAAAGACTCGATATAAAGTTCGATAGAGAAGATTTTCCATTAAGCTTTCGCTGACGAAGATCCATATTTAAATAGTCCCGAAAATAGTATTTTATGGTCTAACTAATTTCTTTTGTTATTCAATACTATTGTTTGTTTCAATGAATATTGTTTCAGAACAGAAAATAAGTAGAGAATGGTTTTCGTAAACGGCAATGAAATGTTATTAACGAGAAAACCATATAAGATGACGCGTTGCAATTTTCTGTGTTTATGTATCATTTGGTAGAGTAGTGGAAACTAGAAAAAAGCTTATAAAGATTTGGATCTATTCTTCTTCTTGGAAAATTATAGTCATTTGTTTTTAATTTTTTCAGCCGAAATCACTAAAATTTATAAGTCAATCTGAGAAAGTCCTTAGCACTTAAATTTTTTAGTTCTACATAGCGCATCTTGAAGGTATGGATGTTTTAGTCTTCTTTTACCTACAGTTATATTCACACCCTACATCTTCTATCCAGTCTCTGATCTGACTAATCACAGTGAGCATCTGAGATATTGGTATTATGACATCTCTGGATGTTTCATAAAAAGTTATAAATACTATCTCCTTTCAATCAAACGTAATAGTCTTGAAGGATATTTCTATTTGTGTCGATCATGAACAAGAATTAAGTATAAGAAAACAAGTAGGAAATAAGATACACGCCACAATTAAAATTAACTATTCAATCAGTTCTAATGCTGAACGCAAACCAAACTCATTAGACGAAACTTGCCAAACTCAAATGGATGAGGTTTGGATTATGTTCGCCTTCAAACAAACAAAAGCAGTAGAAGATACTGCGGAAATAAACATTTATAATAATCCACTACAAATTCAATACACATGAGCATTCTTTTTAATCAAATGGAAAACTTACTTGCTGTTTTCAGTACTGATATATTTGACTCAGATTATTTGAAGTATTTTATGTAACTAAAATATAATGCTTGATTTTATAATATTCCTTGTCTAGAATAAAATAATAACTATTGAAATATTTTTATAAAACATCCAATGCATTGAAGTCTAGCATATATGAGTGTCAATATATACTTAGTTTCTTATCTAAAGGTCTATGTTGGAAACTGTTATCAATTTAAAAAGAAAAAAAACTTATTCTGTCCTGCTATCTTTTATCTTGGTTAAAACATATTACCACAGAATAGTAGGCAACTCTTAGGTTTGTTTTATAATTTCAAAACGTTTTGTAAATTGTTATTTACCTCATAAATTAAATCATAAATGAAAAATTTATTTCACTATATTAAAAAATTAATTTGAGCATAAAAGGTTTGTTTATGTGATTAAGTTAAAGAACTTTTGTTTCATACAGTAAATCAGAAATTAAAATCGAGAAAGTATTACAGTTTCAACCTGAAACCATTATAATAATATAGAATATGACTGAAAAGAAGTGCATTTTACTAACGACACAAAATCACCAAGGAGTTCTTATGAGAAAACAACGACTATATGTACCAGATATCCCAAAAAGTCTTTCTTACAAGTTTTTTTGCGTATCTTCATTATCTGGTTTAACTTTCTCGACAACTTTTTGAATAATATCTGAAAATAACTAGTTTTCATTTCTAACATCTCAAGGGTGGGTGTGAGATCACACACGATATCCTCACATCCACATCCATCTAGAGAAAATTGAGCTCTAATAAAAAAAGACTTTATATAAGATCTATCTATCATATTATAAATTACCTTCCTATGAAATCATCTGCACCAGGATCTTCATCGAATACTTCATTCCATTTTAGATCAGTAGTATTATTAATTGTTTTTATTTTATACTCCGCACAACCTTGTGTTATAAATACATTTAAAAACAAAATAAAATCAATATTTTCATATATCTTTAACTTGTGCAAATGGATCACTTTTTTCTTTTCCAAGAAGGTTTATATCTGCTTTGATAAGGTTACGTGTTTTAATTATAAATACTCGAACAACACCCTGAGGGTTAGACCATCTTAAATATCCAACTGATATATAACTAACAAGTGGAAAAACTTATCTATTAGGTAAAATTATTAATGATGCTACAATATTATTAATTTGTAATTATAAAAAATATTATTTTGTATATTTACAGGTTTTTTAAGAAAAAAATATGTTAGAGCACCAAATAATGGAATTGCATTTACTAAAGGACTTCAAATAATTCCAACCTTACAAACAGATTGCATATCTTTTATTTCACAAACAATTCCTTTTACTTGTGCTTTAATATGTGCGTCACCAGCATAACTAAAATAGAATTTCTTGTTGAACAACTTGAATATAAAACTTCTATATCCTGTATAAACTTTTTCACCTCTAATTCTAGGCGGCTACCATAGAATATTCAAGATAAAAACTGTCTTTAGAAGAAAAAAACAACATTCATACTGTTTCTCCAAGGTCAAGTTTTTCAAATGCAAAATCCGATAAAGCTGACGATGCTCCTCGAATTGATGGACTCAATATATTTATTTGCATATGGCCAAGCTCGTTCAAGCTATCGTATGTTGAAAGAACACTGATGATTCATTATCTGCCATCAGCTGTAAAATTCAAACGACAAAATCACATATCAATATATATGATGTACTGATGTATAAATTCGAAACAAACAAAACTATAGTTAACTATTAATTTCACTAATGATGCATTTATTTCAACGATTAATTTCTTATTTCTTTTACATTTTTTTTATATCAATAATTAATTATCCGAAACGAAATATTATAATTTTCTACATATTACTTATATTTCATCTACATGAATATTTGTAAACATGTGCATAAAAACATATATCTGTATTAATTGTGCTTCTACAATATATTTGACTATAACATTTATTAATTATTAGTACAATATAAGATTTACTACAAACATATAGTTCACAACAAACAGGAATGAAAACATGACTAAATCATATAAATAACCGGTTAAATAGACAATGTATTTTTTTTGTTCTCTTAAATGAAAAGGATAACAGCAAGAAATATTTTTTTTAAAGCTACTGCATACGAGATGTATGTATATATATGATCACGTGCATATCATATTCTAATTAAACAGCATTAAAAATCGCATAAATAATGTTAAGAATAAATAAGGAAAAAAGAAAGATTAAGCCCAGATTTTGCAAAAAATCAATTTTTCGCTGTTTGTATACATTCTGATCATTGATTGTTATCATATACATTAGATAAAAGGCTACAAGAATAAAAATAGACAAGTGTTAAAATTTGTTTTTATATCTTGCCTAAACATATATATATCAATAGAAAAAAAGAAAAAGGAGAAATTATATTTTTTTAGTTAACATACATTAAAAGAAAGAAACATTCTAAAATTCTATGTAAGACTGTTCACGAATACAGATATTTTTTTTCTCTCTCTCTCAAAAAAACAAAGAATGTTAACGCAAAGATAGGGAATAGAAGAAAAAAAAAGATAAACGAGACAATGTGATTAAACTAACTGCTGCACGCAGCAATGAAAATATTGAATATGGCAAGGATAAATAGAAGACAAATGACGCAATTGTCTATATAATCAAGTTTATGTTGTTTGTACTGATCGTTCGAGTCAATTCGCATAACATACATCAGAATTACACCTAGAATATAAGGAAAAACAAATAAATCCAAAACTCAAACATACACTACTTAAGAAAATAAAAATACAAAACTATTTTAAGATTCAATTTACACATTTTCATGAAGAAAAACGAATACAAAACTCATTAAAATTGAAACATTATAATTAGAAAAATCATATCGAATAAAAATAAAAGAATTAATAATGCGGCTGGAGTTAAAAGAAGAATTCGTTCATAGCGTGTTAAATTTTCCAATGCTGATGATGATAATATCACTTGTTCAAGCCGTGTAAACAGAAATAAATATAATTGAATAATACCTAGAAACCGCGAAGGCAAGATAATAACGTCGACTACATTTACAATGAAACGAGGATGGAAAATATACGCAATGGATAGACATAGGACATATTGGAAATCGAGAATATGAAAGAAAGTACGGTGGAGAAAAAACTTTTATTTTTCCTAATTTAAGAAAACTTACCGATGCTAGCACACATAAGAATAGAGACAATGCCAAGTGTAACTTGAGTACCATAAAATGAATTTGCACTGCCTGAGCTTGGTTTGAGAACATGTTTCAATTGTACACTGTTACTCATGATAATAATCTGACAAAATTGAAAAAAACAAATAATTTTTATTTATCACCTTAGATTAATTAGTTTACTAATGATAACAAG